TTAAAATACTAAATAACCTTTGCAATTGTGCGAATATTTTGTCCATGATTCATCTGCATGTGCCATCCCGTGATGTTTGTGATCCTATTCTTTTTAGCGCTCCGCACCAACGTACTGACTATGGTAAAAATACTGTGTTACCTCGACTTTGTAACCTAGCCAATAAGCACCGAGATGACATTGAATTTTTAATGTGTTTTGTAAACGTTTTAAATGTAATGTAAAAAGTGTAATATTGGCTTAGCCGTAAATAAATTATTATTACACAGGTCATATTTAAACGCGGATTTTTTTTGAACGGTATTTTGGTGTTTGGAAAAGATGATTTGCTTGTTTGGCTTTATATTTGCGAACAAAACTTGAAATCACTTTTGTAACGACCACTTAATTCCGTCGCCACTCTATTTGAATAATACGCAATTTCGGGAACACAAGTATAATGGGCGTGTGTCGTTTTACTATTTTTACATATCTAAAATTTTTATTTTTTACGTTTCTGTTTTATTAAAGGTTATATTATTAAAAATATGTATTACACCTTATAGTTAGAAGAAGTGAATGAGACTAACAACAGCGGGTGGTATATAGATATATTAGACGAAAATGCTACAGAAGCGGTGCCAAGCAACTGGATTTTAAACTTTGAACAATGCTCATGGCCCAATTATCCTTCATTCGGTTGTTCTTGGCATTAAAAAATAAAGCTCAACCCGAAAAAGATTGAACCATATATTCAAAATAATGTCTAAAAAATTGTAAACAAATTTTCAAGCTGCAAATAATCCAGCAACAAAAGCTGTCGAAGAATCTGATTTTGAATAGAAATAGGAAATACTTGTAGGAAGTACTCTCCAAGTAGTGAAAGTAGGTGTGAAAACGAAGTTTACGATGTTTCGGAAATTCCCCCATGATGGTTTTGTCGAAGATTCGCAGTTAAAAACCATTTCTCAATGCACTACAAACATAATTATTTCTGTAAAATTAAGTTTTATTAAAACGTAATTTTAGGTAACGATGAGTTCTGATGACGCCAACTAAATTAAAAATGTTGATTTTGTAACGAAGCAAATTTTCGCAGGCCGGAAACCGTGACGCGTACCGCGAGAGCCGGGGGTAAAGGCGCAATCGCCGCGCCGCCCCTGCGGAAAAGGATTCTTGCCTGAAGCTTCAGGGTGTGCGTAAATGTTGTAGCTGTTTCCCCAAAAGTGATTTTGAAGTGCAGTGTGATCCTCCGACCACCGTAAGTACCTTTTGGGTCGTCTGCCGGTTTACGTATCGGTTTTTGGAATCGCCGCCCCCGCGCGAAAAACCGTACCATCGTCACCGGGTTTTTTTTTTGTCGTCGCCGCCACAACTTGAAACCGTCGTGCACGCGTCGTTACCGCCACCGCGCTCCCCTCCCTGGTTGCCGTACCGTCCTCGCGCGATTCCCAGATTTCTAGGTCGCCGCCCCCAGGTCCAGGAGGAGCCCGTCCTGAAGGAAGTCGTCGCCTAGAAGGAACGACCGTGCCGGACGTGTTATTCTTTTATTTGTAAAACCGATCTATATTTGTTTAATTTAAGATTATCTGTAAGTTATATTATTTTAGCAGTGTAGCTGGTGGCAGGGAATAAACCCGATTATTTATTGCAAAATATTTCTTATCGCTTGATTTTATTTTCTTATGTTCGCGGGCGCTCACCACCTGATATCCGTGTCTCCGTCTTTAGAGCAACCCCGGCGCTCCCTCCCCTGGAGAGGGAGCTGGCGCCCTTCATTGAAGTCACAGTTTAAGAGTAAATAAAAACACAGGATATTGTTCATAGTTTCTCGCATTACTTTGCATCAACCTTCGCTAATCATAACAATGCTCCTGTATACAATGTTGATGAAGTACCAATCAATTCCATGATGTTTGATTTAATTGATATCTCGGAAGATGAAGTGCACGCTGCATTGAAAAAGATGAAGTCGAAATTCACATCAGGTCCAGATGAAATCCCGTCATTTTTCGTCCGATATTGTGCACCTGTGTTGTCCCGACCTTTAAGTATATTATACAATATGATTTTAACTTCTGGATCTGTCCCTGAATGCTGGAAGGTATCAAAGGTGGTGCCTGTGTTTAAGAGCGGCAATAGGTCTGATATAAGCAACTATAGGCATATATCTCTTATTAACAACATTCTCAACGAATAAACTAATATCAGAAGTGGGATTCCCCTAGCCCACATCTTGATGAAAGTGCGGGATTTTCACGGTACTCAGTTCGTTGTGTAAGTGCGCAGTACGCTAAAATGGAAAAGCTCCTGGTTGATTTGGTCCAAGCTATCAAGTCAAACAAACCAACCCCCGATCAGGTGAACTTGCCTGTTTTCCACCCCAAAACCGACGATGCTGCAAAATGGTTGCAACAGGTTGAAACAATTAAAACGGAATTTCAGTGGTCAGATGTGGAATTATTGGTAAGATTGGGGCACTTTTTAGTTCAGGGTGTTCGCGGGTGGTACGACAATTGGTCACCGGAAGTGCGGGATTGGAATACCTTTAAAAGGGAGTTTGCAGATGCCTTTCAACCAAGACGCAATTTAGGGCGTTTATTAATCGAAGCCGCAAATTATGATAGCTGTACCTGTAACACTTACAATAATTACGTGCACAAAAAAGTCGCTCTTTTACGCAATTTACGTGTGACTTGGAAAGAAAACGATCTTGTAGAATTAGTCGTTCACGGTATTAAGGAAAATTACGTCAAAACGCGGCGATAACGAGAGATTGCAAAACCATTTCTGAATTGCTGGCGTATTTAACTGCATTTCCAAAGAAATCGCGAGATATAACCGAAGATCTGGAAGCAGTACCTTCGTCCAGTAAACGCCTACATCTTGGTGATAATCTGCCCTTAAATCCCGTGCGAGTTCATAATTGTGGTAGTAGTATTAATTTATTATTTGCCTTAGAGGCTTAATTCCCAGTAGTAGTACAAATTAACTTAATCTACCTCAGATAAATCCATAACAATAAAAATAAATAAAATAAAAATTCGAGTGCTATATAATAAATATTCTATTCTTTCTGCTTGCCCACCCCTTGCCATAGTTCCCTTATCTTCCATACTTCTTTCATCCAGTCCAGTCCTCTTCCATCCTCGTTTAGCACTTCTTCCCTACTTTCCTCTGATTCTCTCAATCCTCCACATCCTTCCAGCATATGCTCTATTGTTTCTCTCTCTCTCCAACATATACTACACCTTCTGTCAGTTTCATCCATCCAAAAATTATTCTCTTTCTCTTCATTTCCACACCTAAATCTCGCCATCATTCTTTTCTCCTTTATACTCTCTCTCTCTCTCTCTCTCTCTCTGTACTTTGGTACTTCATCCTTTACTATTTTTCTATGGTCTGCATTATATCTAGACTCCGATATTCTCGATCTACGTTCTTGCTTATCTATATCCTTATCTCTTACACTCAGCTCCTCTTTCATACTCTTTCCCATTTCTCTCATTCTCTCTATTTCTTCACATGCATATCCCTTTCCTTCATAATACTTGTCCCTTTCGTTCCAAACATGTTTTCCCCCTACCTTTCTTATTTCTTTCCAACATTCTTGCAATATCTTGCAATCACCTCTCTCACTGAACTTCTCTTCAAATCCAACCGCCCTTTTACCCGCTTCCACTCTCATTTTCTCCCTTTTTGTTTCTTCCCTCACTATATACCCCGGCGTATACTTTTCCAATCCCAATGTCCATTTCAAGTATTTTTCTTGCACTCTCTCTATTTCTTCATATTCCGTCCATCCCCAAATCTCAGCTCCGTACACGAATACACTTTTGACCAAACTATCAAACATCATTATTCTTCTCTTATAATCATGTCCAAATTTTCTCTCTCCTATTCCCCATACTATTCCTACCACTTTGTTCGCTTTTTGGACCATTTCTTGAATATGCGCTCTATCTGAGTTATTGCTCTTTAATGTATATCCTAAGTACTGGAATTCTTTCACCTGTTCAATCTTCTTCCTTTTCCATGCTCACTCTTCCTTCTCCTTTCTTACTTTCTTCCCAAACACCACCATTTTTGTTTTTTCCACATTCACTTCCAATTCCTTTTTTTCTACATACTTCTCCAAACTTTTAATCATTGCTTTCATTTCTTCTCTTTTCTTTGCCACAATCACCAAATCATCTGCGTACGCCAACGATCACACTTTCTCTTTACCGACTACCACCTCTCCTGTCTGTGCTTTTCTGAACATTTCATCTATATCTCCTAGATAAGCTGCAAACAATGCGGGGCTGAGTGGGCATCCTTGTCTCACTCCTCTATTTGTATAAAAACTCTCACTCTCTATTCCATTCACTCTCACCGTATTTACTGTTTTTTCATATATTTCTTCCATTTTCGTTACCAAGTATGCATCTACTCCCTTTCTCCTCAAATACTTCCACATTTTCTCTCTATTCACGCTATCAAACGCTGCTTTGAAATCTATGAACAATGCGTACATTCGTCCACCCTCTTTCCTTATTTCTCTTCCCACTAAATGTCGCAGGATGTACAGATTGTTCATAGTACCTCTTCCTTTCCTAAACCCTGCCTGACCGTCTGGTAACATACCCCTTGCTTCCATCTCCTTTCGTAACCTTTCATCGAGTATCATTGCCTATATCTTGTACGCCGTATTGAGCAAGGTAATCCCTTGGTAGTTCTTCACATCACTTTTTTGACCCTTTTTAAATAATGGGATTATTATACCTTCTCTCTGTTATATATGCAACCAGCAATAGCCAACGCAAGGGTGTCATGGACGCCATGTCCATACACACGTGGAACCAACGTGGTGAATAAACCTACAATAATCTGACGTCTTATTATTGAGTTTTATACCTGTGATATACGGAATACACAACATATGGCGACGAGCAAATTATGAATACAAGGGAGTAACTTTCAACGCAAGAACGGGAGGAAAAGGTGAGAAAGTCTAACCGTTCTGAAAAGCACTTTCAAGCATGGCTAGTTACATCGGCATTATCCCTACATTCACACCGGACAGTGACTTCACGATTTTCGAAGAAAGGTTCGAACAATTCTGCCTCGTGAACAAAATCGTGGACGAAAAATGCAAAGTTGCCCTGTTGCTAAGTCAGATGGAAACGGATGTATACAAGATATTTCGCGATTTATCATTTCCAATTCCACCCAAGGACAAGTCTTTAGAAGAGCTGAAAAAGGAGCTCCAAAAGCATTTCAGTCCAAAAGTAAACGTGTTTAGGGAACGAATTCAGTTCTTCCGAGCCCACCAAACCGCCGAAGAAGGTTCTAATGAGTGGTATGCAAGATTAAAAAATCTCGCGGTCAACTGTAAGTTTGAGCACCTCCAAGAGACACTGGTTGATCGGTTCGTGTCGGGAATGCGAGAGGGACCCGTTATGGACCGACTAGTGGAAGAACCAGTCAGTCAAAGTCTCGAGAAGTTAATCGAAATTGCCAACAGCAAGGAGTTGGCGTTAGCATACACCACTGGTAAAGGAAGCGAGGACAGAATTCAGGCAGTATACAGTGGTCACCGTAAACTAGGCAACTTCCGGGGAAGAAACCAACACAAACCCAGAAAACCAGATGCAAATGAAGAGTATAAAGAAAGTTATGACATGGGAAGAGTGAAGAACCAAAGCAGAACCACCGTGAAATGTAAGTGCTGTGGCAAAATACATGCTGGAACGTGCAAGTTCCAGAATTATACCTGCAATGCATGTGGCAAAAAGGGACACTTACCGAGTGTCTGCAGGGCAAGGCAGATCAACGCAGTGGAGACCCTACAAAGTGAACAAGGAAGCGGAAGCGAGGTTAGTATATATGACGAAGGACATTATCTAAACTCTATATATAACATTAACAACACTCTTAAGCCAATCGAACTCTCCGTGTTAATAGATGGCAAAAAATATTGCATGCAGTTAGATTCAGGTTCCGGCATATCTGCAATAAGCAACAAGTTTTATGTAAATAATTTGAACACTTACCAAATTCATCCAACAGTAATGTCGTTTAAAGGTTACACAGGTGAATCAATTGTACCATTAGGATTCATAAATGTTATAGTAGAATATGGAGATATGGCAAGTGAGTTAAAACTATTTGTAATTGAAAATGCTATGACAGGATTGTTAGGCAGGGATTTCATCAATAATTTTAACATTATTTTCACTCCAGCAGGAATAAACGCCATTGACTCGGTGCTGGACGTGAAGACTACGTTAGGGGGGGGTTTCATGATGTGTGTACTTCAGCTCTCGGATGTTTTCACCACGGTAAGATTTCTTTGAAGTTAAAGCCTAACGCCGTCCCAAAGCACCATTCTCCGAAACCTGTACCCTTAGCCCTTAAATCCAAAGTCGAGTACGAATTAGAGAGGATGATTCAAAGAGGAATCATTACACCAACCGTAACAACAGAATGGAGTTCCCATATTGTCCCGGTTCTGCGAAAAAATGGCACCGTACGCATATGTGGTAGCTATATAAATCTCAACAAAAATCTAGTAGATGTGTATTATCCATTACCACACATAGATCAGATTTATGCTAATCTGAAAGGAAATTACAAATTTTCCAAAATAGATCTAAGCGACGCGTATATGCAGTTCGAACTCGATGATGCGTCAAAAAAGCTGGTCACTATATCCACGCACAAAGGATTATACATGGTTAACCGAATGCCCTTTGGGATTAAGTGTGCAAGCTTTTACTTCCGAAAACATATTGACCAACTTTTTCAAGGCATCGACAATGTATTCACCTTCCAGGATGACATCTTAATCGGACATAAACGTGGCGAAAACCACCTAGATATTTTGAGACGAGCCCTAACTATATTAAAAAACGCAGGCCTAACGGTAAACCTGGATAAATGTCAGTTTCTCCAAAGCAAAATCTCGTATCTGGGATACGACTTATCAGAAAACGGTTTAAGTAAAAGCAAATATAAGATCGAAGCAATAACATCTGCTCCACCACCAAATAATATTACCGAACTTAAATCGTTTATTGGAATGGTTAATTATTATAGCAAATTTATACCCAACATTACGGAAACTCTAGCACCCCTCTATCAGTTACTAAAAAAGGATGTTAAATATCAATGGACAGATAAATGTGATACAGCGTTCAGAAGTATTAAGCAAAAGATTGCGTCTGATACGGTTCTAACTAACTTCGATCCTAATCTACCCATCATTGTAACATGTGATGCTTCTGAACGTGGCATAGCAGCAGTTCTTGCACACAAGATGACAGACAACACTGAAAAAATGGTGACATGTGTATCAAGAACTTACACTAAAGCTGAGCACAACTACTCAGTAGTGCACAAAGAAAGTTTAGCACGCTATTTCGCCATAAACAAATTCCAAGAATACTTATATGGACAGAGATTTATTTTGCGAACAGATCAAAAATCGTTGGTCTACTTGTTTGGGAAACAAAAGGAAATAAATCAGACATATGCTAATCGAATAAAGCGCTACGCACTGTATTTTTCAAACTTTGATTTCCACATTGAACATATAAAGGGACGTGACAACGCAGTCGCAGACTGTTTGTCGCGATTACCACTAGACAAGCAATTTACAGTTGACGAAGTAGAATACAATAGCATATATTTCTCCAATGTAGATATTCCGATAGACAATACAATGGTAAAATAAGAAACAGCAAATGACGCTATCTTAACTAAGGTTATAGAATTTGTTCGATCGGGATGGCCAAACGAGATCGATGAAAATTATCGACCATTTTATAATCGCAAATTAGACCTCCACGAGGTAAATGGCTGTTTGTTGTTTGGAGACCGTATCGTGATACCAACCACAATGCGAGAAATAGTAAAAAACGAACTACACTCTACTCATGAAGGCATCGTGCGAATGAAAGCTATGGCGAGATCGTTCTTATGGTTTCCTGAAGTCGACAAAGAAATTGAACAGATATGCAAATCGTGCAAAGCTTGTCTGTCTGTCACATCTCATCCCCCAAAACCCTATGTATCCTGGCCGGAATCTTCTAATCCGTTCGAAATAGTCCACATGGACTTTTTCACGTTCTTGCAAAGACAATACCTGATCATAGTAGACAGCTGCACTAAATGGTTAGAAATTTACAGTATGAAAAACATTACAAGCGAGAGTACTGTAGAAATGCTTAGAGACTGCTTCTCTCGATTTGGGCTGCCAGAAACAGTTGTTTCCGATAACGGACCTTCCTTCGTCTCCGAAGAAATGGAGATTTTCTTTTACCGGAACGGAATCAAACACATGACAATCTCGCCATACAACCCTCAAAGTAACGGCCTTGCTGAAAACGGTGTTAAAATAGTAAAAAACAAGGTGAAGTCGGCATTGGCAGATGAACAAAATAAAAATGCCACCATTCAGACGATACTTTCCCGTTTCCTGCTAGTTTATAGAAACACACCGCATACGACGACCAAAATATCTGCAGCTAGTGCTATGTTTGGTCGAGAATTACGTACAAGGTTTCATCTAATGACTCGTACTGACCATGTCTCAAAAAAAAATACCCCGCGAACCAACTACAAGTGGAACTTTTAAAATCAACGACAAAGTCATAATCAGAGACTGTCGGACAACCGAGAGGAAATGGGTTGATGCGAAAATAATAAAAACAATTGGCAACGCCACTTATTTATGCCAGCTCGCATCTGGAACGGTGTGGAAACGTCACCCAAATCAAATAAAGAAAAGGAGTGAGGGTTGCGAATCAGTATTGAGTAAAAGCACCGCCATTAAACAGCACAGAGGACATTGATCTGAAAATCGGAATGCCCATAAATTACGATCCTACGTTACCACAACTACCCATCCCTGCCCCAGTACGTAGCACTTCCACTAATCTGGATCCTGTACCAGCAGGTATGAACAACACACGTCAGGACACTCATCCTTTACCAGCCACCGAGCCAATGTGTCCTCCCGCAGCACATGAATGTATTAGACCATCTAGAATTAGGAAAACCCCAAAGATCCTAGATGATTTTATTGTTAGTATGTAAGATTTCAACCTGTAAATATTATTTTAGTTAGTTTAGGTAAATTTCATTGTTAGGAGGAATATTTTGTAGTTGTAAGTTAAAGAGGGAGATGTGTTATATATGCAACCAGCAATAGCCAACGCAAGGGTGTCAAGGACGCCATGTCCATACACACGTGGAACCAACGTGGTGAATAAACCTACAATAATCTGACGTCTTATTATTGAGTTTTATACCTGTGATATACGGAATACACAACACTCTCCACTGCCGAGGAAACCCTTTTCCCTTCCAAACTCCATTTACCACTTCGCACATCTTTTCTTTCACTTCTTCTGTCCCGAACATCCACGCTTCGTTCTGGATTCCATCCCCTCATGGTGCCTTTCCTCTTTTCAGTCTCCCAATCTGTCTTTCTATTTCATCTTTTGTTATTTCCGAACCTCTCCACATTTCTTCCGTCGTTGTGATTCCTTTATTTATTTTGCAGCATTTTTCCTCACAACCTCCCAATAATTCTATAAAGTGTGTTTTCCATTCATGTATTTTGATTTTCCCGCTGATTTCAGTCTTCCTTCTCCGTTCCTTGTTTATATATCTCCATACTTGCTCTTCTGTTTTCAGGGACTTTATTGTCTTCTCTTCTTCTTCTTGTTTTTCTCTTTTTCTTTCTTCCCATTTTCTCCTATAATTCTCTCTTGCTTTTAGGTACTCTTCTTTCCTTCCCTTGTTATTCTTCCATTTTCTTAATTTTTCCCTTGCTTTTCTCTTCAACTCACTACATTCTCCGTTCCATCCATTATCCCTCCCTTGCTATATGTATATCTTTCTTTTTTCCGTAGCTTCTACAATTAGGTTGCTCAGTTCCACCATCATAGCTTGTATTCTTCTTTTACTTCGAATTTCTTTTTTTCTAGTCTACTTCTGTATCTTTGAATTCCCTCTTCATCCCATATTCTTTTTTCTAATTATTTTCTTTCGTGTCTTCTCTCTTGTTTTTCGTACTCTTGCTCTTTTCCTTTGATTTTTATTTCTAGAGGCATGTGGTCTGATTCTACCCTTTCCCCCACTTTGAAACTCTCTATTTCTTCCCACGCCTCTTCGTTGACAATCCTATAATCTATAATTGATTCTCCCCTCGCCCCTACGTACGTCCATTCTCCTTCTTCGTCTCCTTCCTTGTTTCCATTCAAAATTTCCCATCCCATTTCTTCTATTATCTGCCACAATATTTTCCCTTCTTTGTTATTTGCTTTATCTTTTGCTCCTCTTTTCTCTCCCTTTTCTTTATCTATTATTCTTGTCCCCTTATCGCCCAATCTTGCGTTAAAATCACCTCCTATAAGTATTTTTTCATCTCCTTTTTCTTTTGTTTCCATTTCTATGTTTATCTTGGTTTCCTCAATTTTCTTGCTAGAAACGGTTATTATTTCCCATCGATTGTTATCCAGCTGTATTACTTTCTTCATTAGTCCGTTTTTATTATTGCTTCCCTTTTCCAATTCTTGCATTTCTTTTCGAATTCCCGTTACTATTCCCCCGCTTGTGGTAGTGTCTCTTCCAATTTCTCCCAGTTTTCTCTTTGCACCCAAGTCTCTACTAGCCCCACAACATCAAATTTTCCCACGTAGTCCCAGAACTCCTTTTCCTTTTTTCGCAACCCTTGGACATTCCAAAACAGTACCTTCAGCCCTTTTTCTCCTAATTTTGTACCAGCTTCCCTTTTTCCTCGTTTTCTTCCTTCACTTTTGGCTCTTTACTAAAAATCATAATTGTGGTAAAGTTGGACATTTGCGAAGACAATGCCGATTCCCAGACCGATGTAATAAGCAATCAGAACGATCAAAAACCCCCGAACGCATTAATAAAAGCAACAATGCCGGCGATGGTAAAATTGTTTGTTCCTTTTGTGATAAAGGTGGTCACACCGTTGAAAAATGTTTTACCTACGCGTCTTGCGGCATCTGAACGAGCAGCCGTGCGTGAAATTGTTGAAAATCTTCTCGACAACGAAAAAATTCGGGAGAGCGCTTCACCGTACGCTAGTCCAGTGCTTTTGGACCGGAAGAAGGACGGAATATTTCGCATGAATTATTGTGAACTAAACTCGCACACTGTAAAAGATCGTTACCCCTTACCGTTAATCACGATCAGCTCGACCGATTGGGAAAGGGAAAATTCTTCACGTCATTTGACATGGCGTCGGGGTTTCATCAAATTCCGATAAGCGAGGATTCGATCGAGAAAACGGCGTTTGTCACACCTGAGGGCCACTACGACTACTTGCGTATGCCCTTTGGGGCCTTTAAAAGAGTCTGTAGCTCTTGTTTATTTAGACGACCTTCGCGGACACCGGAACAGGGAATCGAATTTTTAGAAAAAGTTCTGGAGGCGTTGCGGATAGCAGGTTTTTCATTAAATATTAAAAAATATAAGTTTTTGTAAACAAGTATCGAGTACTTGGGTCGCGAAATCTCGGCTGAAGGGATTCGTCCCGGTTCGCCAAAAGTGACTGCTTTAATTCACTCTCCCTTGCCAAAAAATGTAAAGCAGGTCCGGCAATTTATGGGGCTTGCTGCATATTTTCGGAAATTTATTCCTAATTTTTCAACTGCAACTGCTAGCATCACTAAGTTAACAAAAAGTAACGAACAAATTTGTTGGGAGAATGAACAGGAAATAGCGCGAAAATATGTAATCGATCGCTTGACATCAAGACCTCTGTTGGGCGTTTTTGAACCGAATCTTCCAACCGAATTGCATACTGACGCCAGTTCTTTAGGTTGTGGTGGTGTTTTGATTCAAAAATGCAATGGTCAAACACGAGTGATAGGGTATTTTAGTAAGCGAACTAGCCCATGTCAGAGAAATTACCATGTGTCGCTGTTGTTCATGGAATGTGTACTACTAATGCGCACAAAACCAGCTTTCCGGTTAGGCTTATGATTTAGTAAAGTATAGTATTTTTGCTTCTTGGATTGAAGTTAAAACAAAACTCGAAAACCAATATGGTGAGAAAAGATCGATCGCACAAATTCAAACAGAACTTATAAGTATCAAGCAAAATAAAGATGGTGTTGGCGATTTTGCAAACAAAATTATTACATTGAAATCAAGCCTAAACGATGTGTGCACTGTGCACTAAGGTTTAACGTGAATTGATCAAAAATTGAAATAAACATCATTATAAAGTCTTCTCGCTATGAAGTATTAAACGACGCAATTGAGGCAGCTTGTGAGGAGGAAAAATCCTTAAATTTGCAGAAACGTACTGCAGACATTGGTCAATTGAGAAAATGTTCCAAATATTTTAAAACAAATCACTCTACCGGTCAATGTTACTTTAATAATGCAACTTTTAATAGGAGACAAATCGTTTCACGTACTTTGCATACGTTCTTTTCAAATTCTGTTCGTAAAGATATCATAATGATACGAATAATCAAGTGTAATAACAAATTTGTGAATAAAAGAAAAGTTCTTTTTTAAAACAAGTTTATTAAACCACTAAACTTAACTGGCGCAGTCGTACGGATCGTGTTAAGAAACAAAAATCGTTCGAGACCGATTCCGAAAAAGAACCATCTCAACCGCAAAATCTCGGACAAGCATCGCCGAAACTTCGCATCATCTCCGCATCGCCTTCACACCGCAGAATTTCGGACACGCATCGCCGAATTCTCCACAATCGCCACAGGACTCCTGGACAAGAATCGCCAGACTCCTACTTTGTTTCAGGAAAAGAAAAATGCAAACACACTTCGCACTGACGTTAATGTAAGTAAAAACTCGTTCCTTTCTCAAACAAATCCCTTGCATGAACGATTCCATTAAGGATCTCGTACAATTAATCGAACGGTTGTTCGTTGAAACCGAAGACAATCAAAATAATCAAAATCAAAAAATGGCGGAATTTCATTCATCGTTTTCCCAAATACGCTGGAGAAGCATCTGAACTCGCTGACTTTCTTTCTGCTTGCGAATTAATCGTCACACAATTTCAAGACGCAGCAAATCCACAAGCATTCATAAACAAATTCCTATTAACCGCGATAAAAAAACAAATTAACCGGACAGGCAAAAGTAGTAACGGGATCAAGAGAAATTAATACTTGGAGAGCTTTAAAAAATATTTTACAATTAAACTTCGCAGACCAAAGAGACGAAAACTCGCTCTTACGAGATTTAATGCTTTTAAAACAAGAAAACGAAACCCCGCAACAATTTTACATTCGCTGTCAAGACATGAAAAGTCTTCTTCTTTCAAATCTTGCAGTAACAGAACCCAATGAACGAATTCGAATAGTAAAAAGAAACATGTTCGACAATTTAACCCTTAAATCATTTTTAAGTGGTTTACGATCAAGAAATCCACAAACGCTGGAAGCACAAATACTTAATGAAGAAAACATTTTATACGTAAAAAATCGGACAAATTATTTAATTCAGAACAAATCACGTGAATTAAAATCAAACAACAGTCCCATGCACTTCATAAATAGAAATGCAACTCAACATTCTTCTAATCATCAACCTTCACATCCGAATCAAGGGCGCACACAGTTCCACTCGCGACTTCAACCTCAAATGCAACTCATACATCGGCAAAATACCGGACAAAGGAATATCTCAAACAGATTTCCGCGACAACCAATTTATGATCAAGTTCCCACAATGCCGAGCTATCAACAAAATTATCAGCAAAATCAATACCCGAATCTCAACCAAAATCCGAATCCAAGGAATTTTCAAAAAAATGTATTCGCACCAAATCCGAATGCGAGACACAATTTTCCAAGACCAATTGCAATGGAAACACAAACAATAAGATATCAAGTTGTACCAATGGACACACAGACAGCCAGGCCAACTCAAAATTCAAATCAAAATCAAAGAAGAAAATACACCTTCCAAGAATTATATCACAACGACAATGACTCACCTCAAACAAGTTATCTTCCATTTCCGAATGAACTTGAAGAAAATGAATCAGACGAAAATGGCACATTTGCACAATTTCA